AGCAGGCCATACTGTCTGAACAAATTTTAGGTATATTGAAATTCTCTTGGGCTTCATTCTGCAGAACTTTTACAGGTCAGAGGCCTTAAAAATGGTTTCAGGATTGAGTCCAACCAGTTTCAAAGGACGATATATGTGGATAGTTTATTTGGTTGGACTGTCAAGTGGAGATAGACAGGAATGTGCTGTCTTTGTTGGCTGTGCAAATCTGTTTATTCCCTACAGTCATCCCAATTCCATCATTACAGATTTTTCTAAGACCTTTTTTTTTCCCACATAAGAACACTGTCTCATAAATTCTATTTCTTTTCAGTTGTGAACCAATTTCCTTGTGTTTTTCATGTAAAGTCACTTAGACCACAAAACAACATGCATGGTGGAAATACTATTATGGTCAGATAAGATGTATGGATAGCACAGGCAGATAATCACCATGTGGAAGGACACTCACCACTGGAAACAACTGGCCATGATATTAATGCCTCACAAGGAGGGGAGAGTTCTGCTGTATTTTGAAGGCTGAAAAGGATCAAGGTGTTGCTTGCCCCTGCAATCCCATTTCCCCTCCCCAGGAAAGGGAATGAATACATGAGTTCCCATCTCTGAACAGCTCAAGCGCCAAGAGAAAAAAAACTACTTAATCCAAGAAAAAAAAGGCTTCTACAACATTTGAGAAGGGGAGCAAATGGTGGAGCAGAGATGGGGCAGTGCCAAGCAATTTCAGAAAGACTGATGTTGGATGGGCTGGTCACCTTAATACCTCCTGTTTTCAGAAGAGCTACACCAAGGGCTCAGCACAGAGCCCCACAGCATCAAAACTTGTATAGTTTTTGCTTGCTGACCTTCTTCAAAGGCCATGTCCCCTCCTTGCTTCCATTCCAGCAGATTGCATGGTGTGGAGCCCACTGGCTGCCACTGCCCTGTGCATTGCTGGCTAATTTTGCCTTTCCCTAGGGAGCAGGAGGGCAGGACTGTCCAGACAGAAGCAGCATCTACCCCAAAGCACAGTGGGGATATTTATTAATTTATTTACATATTCAGAGGAACCTTCCTCTGAACTCATATCAAGATTCTTTGACTTAGATAACCCGAAAAAGCAAAGCAGCAGTTGAGTGACAGCAGCTAAGTTAGATGTGATGTACTTAAAATTGGGGAAACAAAAAGACACCAAATAAAGAACAACTCCCATGTGAGTCTCAGGCGTTTGTCACCCTCTGCACTGATAAACACTTTTCATATAGGTTAGGCTTTACAGACTGAAAGAACAGGCCTGACAGGGATTTCAGGAAATCATTTTGTCCCTGCTGTGCCCCAAAACAAGGCCAACGTGACTTCATCATTTTGTGTAACCTGCTCTTAGAGACCTCCAGTGATACAGACTCCCCGACAACTCCCTACTCCCACACTTTACTATCTTAAGAGAGCTAGGAAGAGCTAGTTGTCCCCATTGCAACTGAAGTGTGTTACTGTGTCTTCTAGTGATGACAGGCATTTAGAACAGTCTTCTCTGCAACAGCATTTTATGCATTTGAAGCCTACTTTCATGTCCCCACTTTGCTTTCTTAGGGCAGACAGACCCATCTCTAATATTTGCCCACAGGCCATGTTTTACACATATCCCATCATTCCTGCTACTCTCTTCTGGACTTCATCCAACTGGCTCACATCTTTCCTGAAGTGTAAAGTCCAAACAAGATAAAATATTCCAGCTGAGGCTTTATAATTTCCTTGTAAAGTTGGATGCTTACTTCATGCCTCCCAGACCACATTCCTATTTATACAGTGGAAAATGCTGCTTGTTTGTATTCTAGGACAACACTGCTGGCTCACACTCAAGTTTTAGGTCCTCCAGAGCCCCTACGTCTTTGTCTGTAAACTGCTCCTTCATCTGTCTTTGTCACTTAATTATTTCAGATTAACTCTTCAATCTTAAGTGCATCTTTATAGAACAGCATCCCAGTCTTCCAGCATGCCCTCAGCTGCAGGAGGCTTGTGAATTCTGAGCCTGTTCTGTGCAGCACACCATGTTCTCTCCCAGATTCAGTTTAAATAGACTGTTTGAATAAGTGCTCTCAATGTCAACATGCCATTCATTACTGGAAATACAAACTAGAACGATACCTCGGGCACATCCCTGCAGGATTTCCTTCATGCAAACTTCCCTTTGACAAGGGACCATTGATTACCATGCTCTAAGTATGACCTGCCAAGCAGTTTTGCACCATCTTGCTTTAATTTATCCGTGGTCCCCTTTAGTTTGCTTTCTATCCAGCCTGCTTTCAAACTGCCTTTGCTGCTTTTAGGACCTGTAAGTGAGCTGCCTTTGGCAACTCTGCTCACAGACCTGCCCTGCCTGGAGGATGTATAAATGTTTAGGCACAACTCTACCACAGGAGAGGGCACACACCTCTTCCCACCACTGCTTGTCAGCGATGGAAGTACTGAAACTGCCATGAACCTGTCAAGAAACCCTGCTTTTGCTAGCACTCATTTTCAGAAAGGTGGTGGGTGCTAGCAAGGCCCCAGAGTGAGTCAATGGGATGCTCTCTTGTGATCTTATCCCACGCAGGGCTCAGCCACAGCCCTGTGCTTGGTGCATACCCACCCCACACACTGGAATATGCCTCTCACTGACTGACAGGGTAACTGGTTGGGCACACAGGACAGCTGGAGTGCTCCAAGAGAAGGACATGCCACTCTGTGGATGTCCAGATCTGACATTTATAAGAACAGACAATGAACTCGATGCCTGGAGCTTCCACATATGCTTACCATAAGGCTGAGATAAATGTCTCTCTTCTACCCACATGCACGAGACACATGATGGAAGGGATGACCAAAGGGAGCATGAATGATAGCAATGCCTAAGAGAGATGTGTTACATGTATAAAAAGAAAGCAAGAACATGGATTTGTGGGCTTCAGGCTATAGGAGAGCTTGCAGAGTGCTGTTAACCAAAAACACAGTGCTACATTTGCTACCTAACATCAGCCCTGAAGGAAAACCCACAGTGTAGTTGTGGTTTTTCCACAGCTCTCTGTCAGAAGATTCTAAATGAAGAAGTAGACAAAGTCACTTTTCAGTGTAGCCCAGTGTAACAAGGCCCCTGTAAACCTTACAGTCCAAGTCTGTGTCCCACTGTTCTGCTGCGCGTTGGAAGGTCCAGCCCTTTGGTGCCAGCTCTCCACCTGCTCCACGCAGCAGAAGGCCCTGGGAGGGCTGAGGTCCCACAACTGAAACCACAATCTTCAGGAAACAGGGCCTTGCTGTTAACCAAGTTACCTCAAACTCACCTTCCAGTGCAGCTATGTTAATGTACAATTCTAATAAAACGATGTATTAACAACAGCTAGTTCCAGCAAAGCAGGTATAGGTGATTGAGAAAAACAGAAGTGGAAAAAAACCACAATTAAACCACTTAGACACACCGGCCACAGAGAGATATGTGCTGGCACCATGTCCCCATAACGAACACTGCCAGTGTTCATCTTGAAAATCCCAGCAGCACTGCAGCAGTGACAGGACAAATAAGCAGTTGAGACAAGGCAGAAGGTGCACTCAAATGAGCTGTCCAGTCTATGAGCTTCTAATAAACATTATCCAGGCTAATGCAGCTCTACCATACGAAAGATGGGGAATGGAGCTTTAGACATACTGTCTTTGATTTATCATATGGCTCAAAGCCAAACAATACTTCCTGACAGTCAAGGTGCAATCCCATTGTAAGACAGCAAGCTTTGCATGCTGCACTGACTTCATGGAGGCTGCAAATGAAGAGTTTTATCACATGAAAACCAGGCTCTGCTTCTTAATGGTTTTATCCGAGCTCAACCCAGTGCATGTGAATAACTCCACCACCATAATGGCTCAGCACTGAGTTTAATCACCTCCTCACCCACCTCTGAACTGCAGTGGGGACAGGATATCTAACTCCTGCTGATCTCCCCAGCCATGCAGGGGATGCTGCTCATGAGCCAGAGCAGACTCTGCTTGAAAATGAAGGCAGTGTTTCATGGTAATGTACCTCCTGGAGGGTGCTACGAGATGTCAGTGTGTAAAATTCAGGTAAATCATTATTTGTCCAAGTTTTAAGCCGAAGCCTTCTGCAATAAAACACATCAGCCCCTGAATGGACCATGAGGCACATGACAGCCCATGGCCCTCCTTGCACTCACAGTGAGTCAGATAATGGAACGCCAGTGGTCACCCCTGATGGCTTTGACTCCGTTATGAACAACATGAACTCTTGATATCGTCTCCTCCTTTGTCATTCTGTCATTCTTTTTGCTAAAGCAATCTGGTTTTGCTGGTCACAAGTCTCTGTTTTGCAATGCTGTTGTGAGGTCATGATGAGAAAAGCAGGTACACTTAGGTAAGCTGGGGGTGGTACCAGTCTGACAGGTCTTCAGCAGCTGATAAGATCATTAGTTAAGCCTGCTTCTCTACTAGCATGACAGTGAATAAAACACACAAATATACACTGGAAATTCTGTCTTTGACGTCCCAAAATAGGGTGGTTTTCTTCCTTTGTCTTCATGGGCAATCTGACCCTGACCAAGCACCTTTTTAATTAACTCTTTCTGTTTTCCCCTAGCAATGCTTTAGTGATACCTGACGTTCTACCAAACTTTTTAAAGCATGCACATATATAGACACACAGGCCTCCAGCTAAAGCAAAAGGAAGTAAGGAATGTGGTAAAAAAATTTACCCTTCACAGGGGTTTATATTCTAAAACATTTATGGCAGGGGTGTTTCTACTTTACATTCTCTTATCTTCTGTAAAAGCTTCAGATGTCTTCTAATGGTCGGGATGAAGATGACAGACAATCAGAATACTAAATCCTCTTATAATTATGGTCTTTCATATGGTGACAGGGTCATATTAACTCCTTTGACTCGGGGCCTACTTTGTCATCAAAATCAACTTCAGAGCCAATTTCCTACAACAGATCTGTACTGGTAGAGTGACATATTTACAGGAGCCTCCACCCCCACTTACCATTCGTGAAGGTGTTCACATAGTACCTTCGTCCCTGGGGTGACATATAGCTCTGCCAGCCGGGGGGAAGATGGCCATTCAAGGTATCTTCTGCCTGAGGAGCTGCTTTTCTGGGTTTCTGCTGAGAAAAGAGAAAAACCCCAACCTATTAAATCAATACCTAGATAATGTAAAATCTAACCAGACACAATCTGGAAAGGGACCATGTGGTTTGGCATTCTAGAGATTGCAATGCATCCAAACACTTTTAGTCCATTTCTCCTCTAATCTATCCTAGCTTTGTCCAGAACATGAAGAAACCTTCCCTCAGAGCACTGGCTACACAGAACATCCTTTGGGAGAGAAATTAAACCCCTCTGTATTTAATGTCCCATGGCACCTGGACCTGACTATGAAAATTCCTCTCTTTAAGCAGTAAAATGCTAAGTGTAAAATAACTGCCTGGGAAAGAAAGGCATGCATCTGGCACTCATCTGATTTCATGTGGATATAATGGTGGGTCAAAGCACTTGCTCATGGAGGTGCTGCCCCAATTTAATTTACAGGGACACCATCACCTTCAGACATTTTAAGAAGAAACACTACAAATTCATGTTGTCTACAGGAGCAGTGTGCTGAAGTGGATTTATCAGTATGCTGATTATATACAAATAATGCTTGTAATTATCAATGCGTACATTACTGATCTAGACACAGTCTGGATCCATACAATCCACACACAGGATCACAAGGAGTCAGGTTGCTAGGAGTGATCCATATCATCAGAACAGCAGGAGATGAGGGTCATGGTGTTGCCTGCTCTCCAGGTACACACAGAACTGCTTCCGGGGTTCAGGTGCCACCTCGGCTGTACATCTTCTCCCCTCAGTGCAGGCTCAGAGTGCAAGGAAAATAAAAAGGTGAAGCTGAAGTGCAAGCAACGGTCCCATTACACTGCACCCCCTGTACTGTTTCCTGCTTCACAGTAGCTCTAGTGGTTTCTTGGTAGCTTGGGATTTACAGCAGCTGCTTGATGTGAGGCTGGCAAAGGCGGCTTCATCCCAAAGGCGGCATGAACCCCATTTGGTCCTTTCAGTCAGGAACAGTGAATAAGGAAGAGGTAGAGAGATATGATGCATGGTTAAAGATTGCCAGTTGCAGCCCTATGGTGCTGCAGCTATGAACCCAAGAGCCTCCTCCTGGCTCACATCCAGAGAGCTCCACTTTGCCTTTCCACATTCCCTAAGGCAAACCAGGCATGTGATGTACTCATTTTTTGTTTGTTTGTTTGCATTGCCTTCAAAGGAAGGAATACAAAAGAACAAGGGAAAATGTGTGAAATGGAATTATTTATCCCATGGAAACTAATCTCTGTTCAGGAAATGCTTTTTGACATGGGGGGCACAGGTCTGAAGTGACTGCACTAGGTTCACAGGCAGCCACGTCCAGGGAACAGTTTCAGCTGCTGGCTGAATGCAATATTCAAACACTGACAGACATGTGAACAGTACCAACAGAAAGAAACCGGTGATGTGTCCTTCTACACATTCAGTCTGAGTGAAATTCCAATTGTGTTACAATCTGGAATAAAAGGAACATGTAATGATTTCGGAGCCAAAAATCTATTTTATGTTTCTCTTTAGTGTCAGAAAGCGCTGATTGCAATGGCCCTCAGGAGGCACTGAACTTGAGAATGATCTCGTGTTCGTGCCGCATCAGGCGTACTCACACAGACAGGTCACAGGCTCCAAGGCAGCCTAAGGCCAGTGTGAACACTGTCTCACTGCTGCAGCTCAGACGCAGTCTATGCTGGTTAGGATTGAGCTCCCCTCCTAGAGCAGAAATACAGCCTGGGAGACTCAGCCAGCCCAATCCCAACAGAACAAGTTAGCTTAGGAGATACAAAGGGACTCTATGGGGTGTGTGACTCAAATCTCATGCTTTGCATGCCAATGGCCAACACAGTTAATGCAGAATTAATCAGTAGGATAGCAGCCATCTATTCCTACCCCATGTGTTTCTGCTCTCTAAGGTTTAATCTTACCAGTTTACAGTTCCCCTCACCCTGCTGTACATGTGAGAAAGCAGAAGCTTTCACAGTTTATGTTACTATTTGATTTTTTTTCCTGATCTCAGCTTATGATACAAGTGAAAACTTCCTTTGCACATTAGCCTACTCAAAGGCACATGTTCTCATTATTCTTAGTGATATTCTATTGCCTAAAAATGCACTACACGAAAATCTTGTCTTAGTAAAGCTAGCACAACCATGCCTGTTCTGTGATCAGATGGGCTGGGACCCTTCCATAGATGCCACTGAAACACCTCACTTTCATTCAGCTTTCTGTGAAACCTCTGAGTCTCACTAATGAAAATATTATACCTCATTATAGAAAAATTAAGCTATCCCAGTTTTATCTCTGCATTAATTGAGGTCTTCTCCAACTGAAACAGACCTATGAGATGATATGATTACATGCCTGAGACATTGCACAGGATGGACCAGCTCTAGGAATGAACTGATTGCTGTGAAGCAAGCTCGGACTGTTAAGACCAGTTAAGAGAGCTGGGCTTGTTCAGCCTGGAGAAGAAGAGGCTCCAGGAAGAGCTTAGAGCAGCTCCAGTGCCTAAAGGGGCTCCAGGAAACCTGGAGAGGGGCTTGGGACAAGGGCCTGTAGGGACAGGCCAAGGGGAATGGCTTGAACCGGCCAGAGGGGAGACTGAGCTGAGCTCTTAGGCAGAAGCTCTTCCCTGTGAGGGTGCTGAGGCGCTGGCACAGGGTGCCCAGAGAAGCTGTGATGAGCCTTAAGGTCCCTTCCAACCCAAACCACTCTGTGATTCTGTGATATGAGTGTTTACAGAAGTGCTTTGTTTCACTATGCTATGCCACTTCTAACATGGCTCCAACTTATTTCCAGTTCTTTACAGCCATATATTGGCACTACCCAAGGCACTTGCTCACACAACTGTGACACCTTCAGTACAGCCTTAATATACAGCATCATCCTTTTATTTGGTTTTACTCTCAGTCAAGACTGAAAATACCTCACTGCAGGTTTCCCAAACATTACATCCCTGGAAGCATCACATTGTGCAGGTGATGCAGACCAGCGCACTGGTGTATGGCATTGATACGTACTTCCATCACATGGACCTTACAAACAGAAGCTGGTTTATGCAGTCATCCTTTTCATCCTGTTCAGCTTCTGGGACTTGCCATGCAGGGGAGTTTTTCCATCTCACATCTCTCTCAGTTTCACCTCACTACAGTTTCAGCTAATGTAATGAAACACAGGGCAGGAAACAGAACTCCTGGAAAGAGTCTGACCAGTGCAGTCACCCCAGTAACTGCAGTTAACAGCTAAGAAGGCTGTTTGATTTCTGTCTCCATGTCTACCTCCTGAGGGGCTGCCTTTGCACCTTACCCATACACGATCCTTATCCAAACCAGGCAGGTTTGGTGAGAAAGCCACATCTTTCCTTTCAGAGGCTGAGAATCAAGTAACATATGCAGAGAAGAGAAAGCATGATAGCCCCAAACTATTTTCTGAACCACAAAACCAGTCTCTTTCCCAGCATATTCCAAGCAATAGCACAGAATGCTGGGATATATCCTGGGACAGCTCCTGAACTCTCTCATTAATAGTCCCCCTTTATTGTTTGCCAAAGCCCACTGAAGAAGAAATAAACTCTGCAGTGTAGGAGTATACCAGCTTGTGAGGAATTTGGCAGCAGGTTGGGTCCCTCAGCTTCACTGCACAGATCTCTGGCCTTGAAGATAACAAAGTTACAGCAGACTATCTCTGCTGTGCATGATCACCCCATAATGAGGAATTTGGGATAATACAACCCTGGGTTTTGTTTCAGAATCTGGAGGGTACTGAATTTCACACATTATTACTGCAGGCTTGTAATTTCTGTCCTTAACACCTGCTTTCCCTTCTGGAACTGAAGTCTTATCCATTCCTGCTATCCCTTTTTCTTAATATGGTCCTATAGTGATCCCAAGTACCACGTAGGTCAAGACTTAATTTTAGGGCCCCTGGCATTACTTTATTTCACACAGTCAGCACCAGATACCAATGGTTTGCTTAGGGAAGCTCTGCAATTGCCCCAACATCCTTTGAGTCACTTCAGTGTTGCTTCAGCTCTCTCTAATGGACTTCAGGAAAACCAAGGTCTTTTACAGACAGATGCCATGGCTGTATTCTTAAACAAAGGCAATGACAAGAGATGCATGTGGACAGTATAGAGGTGACCAGCAAATGTTGGATGAAAATAGTGTAAAGACCAAATTTAAGCCATTATGCTTGCAGGTGATAATTCTATTATGAGTTATTAATATTTCTCTGTTTGCTTATGATTTTGCCAACAAAGAAGCATTGCAAACACCACAGTCCCTATCAGTGATGATCAAGGGAAACCTCAGTGCTGCCAAATGCTGAAGTTCTTGTAAAAAATGGGGCAGTGGTTTCCTTGGATGAGCATGGAGTATGGATATGTGGATCCCTTCCTTTTGTTTTAGAGAAGAATGTGTTCTTGAACAGCAACTCACTGTTGGGCAGGACGTTGTGCCCTCCTCCTCCCCACCCTCCATGGGGACTGCCGAGGAAGATCCTCTGGATGCTGGGACCACTCTTCTGTTAAGAGTCCCTAACTGGTCCCAGTGCAATCCCATCCCACACACATGAACTCCCACTCCTATAGCAGCTCTGCTCCAAACTGATAATCCAGACATGAAAGAGGAACGGAAAATTAAATAGGGGAGGAACTGAAACGAAACTTGGCTTCATCTGAGTTTCCTCATCATTCTATGCTCATTGAAGAAAAGGAACCAGGAGGCTCTGGAATACTTGGTGTTGGGCAGTAGCATATGGGGCTATAGATCAAGTACCACATAGTTTTGGCACACTCAGCAGTGCATTCCTTCAGATTGCCATGGAGGCCATAGTGGCAGCACATCATCCCTTCTCTGCCAGACCAGATCTCAGTCACAGGAGAGACTTTCTCACTCTTACTCAGAAGACTGAGTTTAGACCCTGTCCCAGCCAGACCCTCTGCAGTCTCTTCTTCAAGCATCATCACGGTTAAACTGGATCCACGTTTGTACACCCACCTGGCAGAAGTTCAGGCTAACTGGGC